TTCCCGCTCCCAACACCCGATCCAGCAGGCAGGGGTTTGCCCACCGCAGGTCACAGATCCTCCTTCGGGGCCTCCCCCCTGTTGCCAGTGATGCCCCACTTCCATTTTAGTGCTGGAGATGGTCATCCCCCCAGCCCTGTCCCTTCCTGCCTCCCCCACGTGCCTCCCGGGAACCCAAGGGACCCGAGTTGTTCCATTTTTATCTCCTACACCCCTAGGCTGGGTAGTGGTGGGTGGGGATGGCTCCTTCTATGTGTGCAGTTTGGGGGGGATTAGAAGGAATTGCTTTGAGCTTCCCTGATCCTTGCAGTCGTCCTCATTCCAGTCTCTTCTCTCGTTTCGCACTTGCTTTCTGAGAGGAAGCTTTAAAAGTCCCTTTTCCTCTGCTCCTTGGCATTACTAGTGCCTCGACTGTAGGGCCTGGAGAGGAAGGTGAGACACGAGGACCGTTTAAAAGGAACATGACCCAAACACAGAGCGAGATTGTCAGTGGCCTTTCTCTGTGTGTGTTTGTGTTCACTGTTTGTTCCCCACGCCCCCCATGGTGTCTCCTCTCCAGGTTGGGGTGTGTGGTGGGGGGGTCGCTATGTCGGATGACGATTCGAGGGCCAGCACCAGCTCCTCCTCATCTTCATCCTCCAACCAACAGACAGAAAAAGAGACAAGCACGCCTAAGAAGAAGGAGAGCAAAGTCAGCATGAGTAAAAACTCTAAGCTGCTATCTACCAGTGCCAAGAGGTGAGGCTGCAGTCCGTTTTCTCACTGATTCAATGCATCTTCTCTTCTTCCTCATTTTATTTTACTCTGTTCCTCTGCTGCTCTTCTGTTACTCCCATTCCTCATCTCTGGCCTTTATGCTCAACCTTTCCACGTGAAGCTGCCATTATCTCACTTTTTTCAGCGCCTCTGTGCAGCAAGTGTCTGCCCAACTTCACTGCGCTCTGCTATCCCTTCCTGCGTCTTCCTCTGTTCCATCCCAGATGTTTCCCTGCCTCTTCTTTCTTCGGGCTGTTATTCTGTTCCTCAGTTATTTCCACTGTCTTTTCCTTTTTCCTTATTAGCATCAGTTATAGGGATGGGGTAGAATGAGTATGTAGGACTTTAATTCTTTCTCTGCTACTGGAAGCTATATAGTCCTGAGTAAGGCATTCAATTTCAATGTCAGTTTCCCTCGCTGTAGGATGGGATTGATCTAGAGTGGCTTTTTTCTTTCCAGGACTGCTTTGGGGATTAATTAATGTTTGTGAAGAGTTTTGAGTTTGCTTGCACTGGGGGAGTGCGCTTCGTGCAAGTGGTGTAATATAGCCCCAAATCTTCTCCACCAAATGTATTACTGTTTTTTCTGTCTGCTCATCACTTACATTGAATTTACAGTGTATGGTTGGATATTGACTAGAATAAATAATCTTCAGCAGGTCCACTTGTGGATATTCTACTCTAAAATAGATTTTGCTCACAGCGGAGAGTGAGTTGGGTTTTTTGAGAGCGAAATTATTTTTATTCCATAACAATGTCTACATGGGGGAGGGATGCCTGCATAGAATAGTAATTCCAGAACAGCTACGTCAGTTAGTTTTCTTCACCTGGACAAACTCTCAGAGCCACTCAGCTTTACAAAAAAATTAAATAAATTGTTACCCTTTCTTACTTATTCTGTATTTCACCTAAATTCAGCACCATGCTGCTCCAGTGAGCTAAGCTGACAAGTGGAAGTTTTCAAGCAAACTTGCAGTACTTCCGTAAGAATAATAAACCATCTTGCTGAACAGCTTTGCCAGGCAGCGCAGAGAGGTTGTATCTGTAGGTGTCAAAAGTGACTGGGGTTTTATGCAAATGCCTTGTCATTGCAACTAAGTTCTCTGTGGCTTTGTAGAATTTAGGCATTTTGGTTATTCCAGATCTCCGCTCAGCAGGTTTCCATGGCGAACTGACATGGATAGTGGCGAGCGGTGCTTATGTGTCATGCCCTTAACTGTTTTAAAAAGGTTGTAGACAGCCTAATGTGAGAAGGCTGTGGTTCTCCTGTATGACAAGTGGAAGAGAGGCAGAAGGTGCTGGCTGAGTTTAAAGGAGAAGAGAGGCAGACTGAGTGCTGGGTGGGGAAATCTGGAGGGGAAGCCTGAGTGACAGCAATGGGACTCGAGGGAAGGGGATGATAGCTGGTTGGGCGTTTTGTGGCAAAAGCAGTGTGAGCCCAGAATAGTCTGGGCAGGGAGAACAGGGTGTTGTCTGAACATGGTGAAGAGAGGGAGCGTCTGGAGTCCTGAGGGAGGGGACATGGAGCTGTTGTGTGGCTCTTGGTGAAGAGAGGGGAGAATTGAAGGTGGCAGGAATGTGCAGGAGCCTTGGACATAGATATTCACCTTCCTTTAAGTGTCCTTGGGAATGGCGCAGTTACTCACTTCCTTGGCGCTGGTGTTTTTCCTCAGGCTGGTGATGGGAAGCTGGCGGGAGAGGTGGAGAGAGCCAATTTGGCAATGACTGTTTCTCTCAATCCAGCAAGACATTTCTTTTTCAGGCTGCAGTGTCCTCCCAGCACTTGGTGCATCACATTTGCAAAGGGTTTCCCTCGTTTCCAGGCTGGTTGGCAGAGTAAAGCGGACAGTCTTTTCCACAGCCCCTGTGTGGTTGGCATCTTTATGGGAGCATACAACAATGCACCTGTCTGGGTTCAGTGCATGGTGGCTGACTGCTTTTCTATCCATCCCTGTAACAGGGCACCTGTCCTGCTTAGCGTGCTTGGCCTGGGGGAAGGCGGCAGCTCAGAGTACCTTTCTCTTATGTAGTGCTGCAAACTCACGGTGACAGTACGTCTGTAAGGCATACATGTTGACTGCTATCCTGCACGGTGACTTACCTTTGTTCCTTCTTGCTTTTATTGCCACAGGATTCAGAAGGAATTGGCTGACATCACCTTAGATCCACCTCCCAACTGCAGGTTGGTGTCCGTTCCTTCCCTGAAGAGGGTGGGGGAAGGTGAGGGGCTGAAGCGTGCCTGTGCGTGTTGTAGCTGTCCTCAGAGGCCCTGGACAGAGCAGAGAACTGGCTGTTTAGGTGGCCGACAGTGCTTTTGTGAATGCTTGGATGACATTAAATAGTTTCCAGGTATGGGGGCCTCCAGGGATTATATGCGTTTTGATACGAGTTTTCTGTTTGTCTTTGGGATTGTTCTGTTTTGGGGTTTTTTAACAATTGCATTTCAATCTGTTATACTGCTTTGTGTGTATGTTTCTGAAGCTGGCCTATAAAGAAGAGTGTGAAAACTTTCTTCTTGTTTGTTTTTTTTCTGGTTTATAAATCTATTGCCTGACTGCACTAATCTTATATAAACAAGAGTCCTGCCAAGGAAGCACAGAATAGTAAAACGCTACGAGGTTTTTAGCTCAGAGTTGTGTTGTGAACAGTAACAGTGGAAGAGAAGTGCGAATTCGTCACTCAGTGGGTGCCCAAGAGGAGCACACATGTTAGCTGATGAAATAACAAGCAGGGATATTCTGTTGCCCTTTATAGAGCAGCTTGTTTTTAAGTATGTTTTAGAAACTTGTACCGCTTATTTAAAACATCTAGCAGGTTGATTTGGTTCATTGCATGGTGGCCTGAGCCTCTTCGTGTTTGGAGAGGAGACTGTAGTAGTGTAACGTCTTTGTTTGTGCTTGTTCATTGGAGAGGAAAGTGGCCTTTGGTTTGGTCTGTGGTCGCTGTAGTTGCCAAAGCACACCTGTGTTCCTGTCTTCTTGCTGTGGCTGAGGTTGGAGGCCTTTTGATATTGGCAATAGGAGCAATCAGAATTCCGTCTACAAATAATTGTTGAAGTTGGTCTTTTTAGTATTGGGTTGTCACCCACAAATGCACGTGAACCTTTTTATTGAAGCTTTTTGCTGCCGTTAGTCTGCAAGGAGGCATTAGCGGAAGAGTTAGCCTACCAGGTCCAGAGCTACTCTTTCAGTACCTGTACCAGTCTCAAGGATCATAATTAATGAAACAAGAGGTGGGAGGAGGCATGTGAGTAGAGGTCTAGGCTGATACTAAGATTTTTGTGCCGTTCAGAAGATAACCGATGAGCTTGGAAATCTTTAACTGTGACAATATTGTTTTAGTGACAATAATGACTATCTGAATATTATGAGAGCTTGCAGCTCTTGGGCTGGAGATTTCTGTCCTGTCTGCATCCTGGGTCTGTGTCACGATGCATCAAGTCCACATGCTTTCGCCTCCTCCTTCCGCTATAACCTGGTTTTCATGGGAAAGAAACCCAGAAGCACGGCTCACAAAGGCACTGTGGCTTGCTCTGTGTATAACTGAGTCTGGATGATCAAGGTGCTGGCACTGCAGTCTGAACTTTGCAAACCTATCCAAAAGTTGTGGTAGTATACGAGTATGTCAGATTGCAGGCTTCATGCGAAGGTTTGTGTAAACAATATTCGAACCCTGATTTGTCCTTATTTCAATTGGCATCATTCACAGGTAAAAGACAAGCTTGACTACGTGTCAAAATGGTATATGGTTGTGGGTATTTTTGTTGGTGTTTTTGCTGTTGTTTTTTTTTTTTTTAAATACATAGACCACTGAGGATAATGCACTTCAAGGCCCACATAGTTAAGTTTGTGTTGTTTCAGACTTTATAAATATTTCTAATGGTAAAAATTAGTTCATAGAACAAGTAGTGATGATTAATCTTCACCCATAATGCAATTACAAGTATTCTGCAATCCCTCCGACCTTCAAATGAGTGACAGTGAAGGCTGGCAACTCTTGTAAATAATACATGAAACTGCTGTAATTGTTACTGTCGCTTAATATGTTGCTAGGTAGGAAAACGTGAATGGAGGGGTTTGTGTGTGTGTGGGGTGTGTGTGACCAAAGGAGTTTTGGTATTGCTCATTTTTGGGTGAAGTCATCCTACTGCAGTAAAGATAGGGCTGAGAGTGAAGGCACACAGCTCTGCTTATGGCTAACGAGGTTCCAGTTGCGGAGTCAAGCGCTGGGAGTTTGCCTCTGTAGCAGCTGGTTTGTAGCAAGGTAGGCAGGTGCCGATTGCCACAGCAGCCAGACGAGTTTCAGCTATCGCAGTTACGGGGAAAGTTCACCTCTTGTGGAAAAAGAAATAGTCAATTTGTGAGTGTGAGGAGATTAAGCAAGTGAGAAACTCATGATGTGCAAGGTTGCCAAAATTTGCTCTGGGGAAGCCTGCTAACAGTGTCACTGCTTTCCTTTATTTATTTTTTTTTCCCTTCGTACGAACGTTATTAGCATGCTGTGAGGGAGGTATTAAATGAACTATGAAATACATAGTTCCAGAACTTAGTTTCAATTTCCTGCCTTCATGACTTTGCTTATCCTCACCTTTCCTCTGACCTCCAGGCCCTCATCTCTCTGCTGCCTTTGTGGCTCTACAAACTTTTTTCAGGTGTCACTGGAGAGGAGGGCAGTCCTCTCCTTTTAGACATCTCACTCTCTCCTGCAAGACTAATCTCAAAACTTACGTATTCAGGGAGCTGTGTACGATACCAGATAGTACCTGTTCTGCTGTCAACTTTAGGTGTGCTGAAGTCTCACAAGTCACATTTGAAAATGTGTGTCTGAAACTGTATCCTGTGCTGTGTTGGAAACGTCATATTCTTTTTTTCCACTGGATGTTTGTTCTTCCACCCCTCACCATCATCTTTGTATTTTCCCCTGTTCTGTGCTGTGCCTGATGTTTGATAGCAGTTTGTTGTTGGCCATGCTTTAATTTTTGGCCGCATTGCAAGTGCTGTTCTTCTTCCAGTCTTATTACAGTAATGGGAGTTCAAGATATTTAACACATCCCAGAGCAGCCCTGCATATTGAAAGGAAAAGCTTTAGGTTGTAAATGATTTTTAGTAAGAACTGTTTTATTTTTCTTCTTATAAAACAGCACATATAAGATGCAATTACAAATAATGAAAACCATTTGATATTTCAAACAAAATAGCTTAAAACCAAATGAGTTTCATTTTTATTTTGTAGCTTGCAGTGATCGTATTTTCATGTGTGTAACCCACAGATCAGCTGTTTAAAAAAAAAAAGAACAAAAAATAAACAAAAAAAACCCAAACCCCAAACACACTCAACACCCTGTGATTGAGCAGCTGTGTGGGTTTTACACATGTGTAGGCAATAGGAAGGGAAGTTTATCCCAGAACTACTTCTCCCCTCAGTAGTTTCCTTATTTCTGTTTTTCCATAGCTTGCCTGTATCCCCAAAACGCTTACCTGTGCTCATCTCTCATTGACTGCTTCATCATCTTTTGTAGTCCCTTTGCTCCTCGTGTCTCCCTTCCCAGCCTGGGATTTTGATTTTAAGGCAGGATAGTATAGTTACTTGTACAGAGATGCAAAATATGTGCATGGAAATGCAGTGTATGTTTGGCCTGCATTCAAAAAATAGATTTTTGGATTTGAAGACATTTTCTAAAAAGACCTATTTAATACACTTTACAAATGTGTGGATTCCTGATGTAGTCAATGCTGTCCTCATAAGTGTCCTAATGTGGTATATGCGTAGCATTTGGCTACTTCTGAGTGGTTCTTACCCTCTTCATCCTTTTCGGTAGGCTGGTGCTCTATAGGTCTTTAACTTTCTGTTGTCTGCAAGGTGATTTGACTTCTGATATTAATACTGAATTATGAAAGTTAAAGTTAAAAAGTTTTCAAGTTCAAAAGGTGGTTAGTGTGAATTGGAAAATAACTTTTTGGACCTGAAGTATTTCACATCTTTTAAGAGCGTACCTGATGATTTCTTCTCGTACTTTCTATTATATTAGGAAGTTGTAACTCTTTGTTTTAGAACTCCAAGAAGATACCTAGAGACTTTGGACTTTTGGTCTTCTGTATATGTTGGTGATAGACGAGTGTGTCATGTCTGGGCATTGGAAGTCTGCATTCACAACTGCAGATGTTCAAAATACAGTTCCATCTTGCTACGTAGGCAGACCTGATCTTTGTTTGTAGATAACACTTTTATTGTGCCAAAGCTTTCCTTCTGTCACTGTGACAAGGTTTCTAAAGCTTTAACAGAAGTTAATTAAAGCTCTAAGTACTGTTCATTCTCTTTATGTCATTTTTTTGACCTCTGTATGTAAGCATCTCCTGATAGTAAATCTGCTAATTGCTGTGAGGTTATGAAAGAAATGTTTTTCCTCATTTTCAGGATGGGGAGTTGCAGCACACAAAAAACAAGTGACTTGTCCAAGGTCACTGAGGAAGTCTGTGGCAAAGTGGAGAAATGAATGTAAATCTCCTTTGTTTCAGGCTAACTTGCAGCTGAGCTGTTCTCCTGGAACTGAGTGCGTTGGGTGCATTATGAGCAGGGCTTTGAGTTTGTGCTTTATTGGGTGTCTGGTATTGACTGTATGTAAGCATGGTAATTTAATGTTATTTTTCCCATCTGTGTAGAGGGACCAAAATGGATATTAACTAGAATTAATGTTTTTTAATCTTTCTTACCCAAACTGAAACAAGTTTGTCTCCACATGGCTCATTTAAGTCCATATAGGCAAGACCAGCTGTTACTTAAACAAAAATAATGTTCAGATCTTTACTGAAGGAGGCATTTGCCTGCAAGGCTTACTGTTGCTTCAGAGTGAAATGCTATCGCAAATTCATTATTTAAATAATAATAAAATACAGTTGTGTTTCCTGGCTCCTTCAGCCCAGTTTTTGTAAATTCACAGAATAAGGACCAGATCTCCCTGAGAGTCTTGTGAAAGTTAACTGTCAGCACTTAATAAATACATGTCACAGTATAAATGGTGGAGAGAAGTGTTCTTCACTATAATGTGTGGAATATTCATAGTTCTCAAAACTTTGCAGTGTGGAATTAGGATTTCTTGGCTAGAGAGAAGTCTCCAGAAAATGTGTGGCTCAAAGGCAGTTTTGAACTCAATAGTTTCATATTATAATTAATATATTTCATCTA